AAATATGAGTAAATACAATTTCAGCCACCTGATATTTGACAAAGGGGCCAAGAACATTAACTGGAGGAAAGACAGTAGCAGGGATAACAGAGTATAAGGGCTCTAGTGGGGGGAGGGAGGCTATGGGAGGGTGTCATCTGGGAAGTGGGTGTATAGTTGAATAAGACAGTTTGGGACATTCTGTGTAATATACACACACAGAAAAAAAAATCAAAATTTTTAATGTATTATATTTGAGGAGAAAGCATAAAAGTTTACATCATGTCAATTAGTAGAGGTAATGAACATTACCACTGAAATCTACCCGATGACTTTACAGACATACACAGGTGCCAAGGATCCAAGTGCAAACGATTATAACTAGTAATAATTAGATACATACAGATTAGAGACGCATGCGCCAACAGCTCAGTGTTAGTAGCAAAAACAATGAGTCTTTCTGTAAGAAACAGTGTATTTTAGAATGAAATGGAGATCTATTTTGAGGGTTAAAAACGTTCAATTTTATGTCTTACAGGGCTTATACTGAGTTCAATATTGTATAACTGTATTGATTCAACAGTGAACATAGACATTTTATAGCCACTTTTGAAGGAGCTGTGTCTTTGCTCTGGAAACTGTTATTGAGCATGTTAAAGCTGTAATGATATGCTTCTTCTAAAAAAAAATTAAAAAAATATTTTAAAAAATGTAGGAAACAGCATATCTTGAAATAGAGATCTTCTTTAAATGGTAAAAACTCATCCAATTTTATACTTTACAAGGTTTATGCTGAGTTCAATATTGTATAACTGTATTAATTGAACTGTGAACCTAAAAATTTACAGCCACTTTTGAAAGAGATGTATCCTTGCTCTGGAGTGTGTTACTGAATATGTTAAAGCTGTAATGAAATTCTTCCTCTAATCATGTGGTTATTAATTTTTTTAAAAATTAAAAAAAAATTCTTCAAAGCATAAAAAAAAGTCCTGTTAAGAGCCAGTCAACATCACAGCAAGCAGGGAAGGAGGGGCTCACCAGCCCCACCCCTAGCTGAGGAGCTATTGACAGTTGATGACTTTTGGGAGAGAGTCAGTTTTCTTCAGGGTGTGGCCCTTGGTGGACCACACTCTAGTGGATGGCTGCACAGCCATGAGTTTATGGGCAGCACAAATTAGATTTTGTAGGTTATTTCTTGAATGGGGACATGAAAAGGGGGTGAGCTCTGTGAGGAGTTAGGGAAGGGAGTGGGAGGAGGTAAATATAATCAAAGCATATTTTTTAAATTATTTAGTTTTTATGTGTATGAGTATTTTACCTGTATGTATGTAAATGCACCCATGAAGGAAAATATCTTTAGAGGCCAGAAAAGGGTGTTAGATCCCCTGGAACTGGAGTTACAGATGATTGTTAGCTGACATGTGGGACCAGGCACTGGATTCAGTCCTCTGCAAAAGCAACCAGTACTCTTAACCACTGAACCACCTCTTCAGCTTCCAAAATACATAGTATGTATGTATGTATAAAATTCTCAATTCTTAAAAAAAATATTTTTATTTTATGTATATCAGTGTTTTGCCTGCATGTGTGTAAGTGTACCTATCTCATGCAATGCTCACAGAGACCAGAAGAGGGCATCAGACTGGAGTTACAGACAAATGTTAGCCACCAAGTGGGTGCTGGGATGGATCCTGAGTCCTCTGCAAGAGCAGCAAGTACTCCTAACTGCTGAGCCATCTCTCTAGCCCTCAACTTTTTTTTAAATCCTGTTAAGTAAGGTGGGGTGGCAAATACCAGTAATCCCAGCAGTTGCAAGGCTGAGATAGGAAGATGGAGAATTCAGGATAATCTGGACTACAGTGAGACCTTGTCTTAAAAAAAAAAAAAAAAAAAAGCCGGGCATGGTGGCATATGCCTTTAATCCCAGCACTCAGGAGGCAGAGGCAGGAACTCAGAGTTCAAGGCCAGCCTGGTCTACATAGGGAGTTCCAGGCCAGCTGGGGCTACAGGGAGACCCTGTCTCAAAAAGACAAACAAAACAAAAACAAAAACCTTTTTAAAACAAAGGAATGAAGCTCTAGATTCATCGAACACAACTCCACCTGCACTCTCAGAATTATATTATGGTACAGATAACAATGCACAAAGTGAAACTGCCTTCACATGTTTTGAGATCACTAACTTAGAGATACTATGGGCATCACAAATGGAAACCTTTAGGGAACTCTTCGGGGAACATTCAGCATCACCTTGCATCCTGAATAAAGGTGTCTCTATGATTTATGCCTAGTTGAAAACAATATCATATCCCTCAGGTAACTTCCCTGCTCCCCTCATTGCTGGAATGGGATTTCATATGGACAGCCAGAGAACCCTAAGGAAACCCAGAGTGGCTACTGAGGGTCCTGAGCACTTGAGCACTGATGAGTCAGAAAAGGCAGAGGATGGTGGAAGACTGCAGCTATCTTTTTTTTTGGTCTTTTTAAGACAGGGTCTTCCTGTAGCCCCAGCTGTCCTGGAACTCACTACGTAGACCAGGCTGGCCTTGAACTCACAGAGATCCGCCTGCCTCTGCCTCCCAAGAGCTAGGATTAAAGTGAGCGCCACCATGCCTGGCATCTGCAGCTATCTTTAACCAGCTTTTTAGGTGCTCTTGGGAATAGGTAGGAATCACTCTTTAGCACCTAGTCTAAGCCTTGTGTCTTTGCTCTCTGTGTGCTAACAGATAATTTTTTATATGCAATTATATTTATAGCTAAGAATCACTAAGTACATTGTAATGTTATTTGTTAGGATTTTCCTACTAATCATCCCAATAGTAAGTTAGAGGAATTATCCCTTCGTTATTGTGAGCAGGTAGGACTCTCAGAGTGACCTGGTCTCACCAAGCAGTGAGGCCAGTGACCCAAGCAGCCTGAGACAGAGCTGCTCCTGCTAAAAAGTCGAATCTTAGGATGACACAAAGACAAAACACTTGCTGTGTGTTAGTTTCCTAGGAATGCCAGCATAAAATGTCACAAACTGAATACCTTAAGGACAACAGAAATGATTCTCTCACTGAACAATTTAGAAGCTTGAAGTCTGTATCAGCTGTTAGAGTTGGTTCCTTCTGCCATGAGCATCTGTCCCCTGCCCACCTTGATCTGTTGTGGCTATATCTGAATTTGATTATGGTGTAAAGACCTTATTTCCAAATAAGGTCACATCTAGAGGTTTCAAGTAGACATAAATTTTGAGGTAATCTATTCAACTAAGTATGGCTTACAAGCAAAAACACCAGTGAACCCAGTATTGCTCCAAACCAGCATGGGCCCTTTGAATTATCTTCTTTAATCCTGGTGACAATCTTTGACGTTGGCACCTTTATTTATCTTCATTTTAGAGGCAGAGAAACAAAGAGAACTTTCTCAAGGTTTCATGACAAGTAAGAGGCAAGCAAGGATTCAGGGTAAGGCCTACATCTGATATAAACCTGTTACAAGCCACATACTGTAGGCTTTGTAGCAGTTACTGATGTCCCTGAAGGTCCCAGTCCTACTGTATAGGTTGTACAACCCTCTAGGTACTTCTCATGCTACATGACAGCTAAAGTCAAACAGCAGAGAACTAGAAAAATCCAAGAAAGCAAAGAATGGCTGCCATGGCAGTCTGGTCATAAGTAGCAATGGCAGGAGTCCTGCATACCCTATGACAAATGGCTGCTGAATAAGGCCTTTCTGGCTGACCACCCTGTGATACTTTAGGCTAAATTCAGATCTTCCCAGATGCCTGCACAGTCTGGGAAAGACATATTCTTAAAAATATCAGACCCGGGGGACCTTTCGGATCTTGAACTTAAAGAGATTTGAACGTCATCTGTAAGCAGATAGCAACCCCTTCCTCCAGGAGAGAGTCAGGCCCAAATTCTTCCAAGTGTGAGTATTGGGTCCTGGAGGGGGAACCCTGACATGTGGCACCTACGGTAAACATTTATCAATATGTCTTAACTCTAAGCCAAAGGGAAGTCATATAGCAAAGTCATATAGATAGAACCTCTTTACAACCAGTGCCAAAAATGATTTCAGTGAAAAAAGGTTTCCTGTCAGATCATTCTTTCTGTTACAAGAGTACTACATAGTCTTCATAGAAATACTAAAGAGATAATAAAAAAGAATAAAAAGTATTCATTAGCCTGCCATCTGGAAACATCTGCTATAAATATATTTTTCTAAATGTTTGCACCTCCGCCAAATGGTACCTAATGTACATAATTTTGCATTCACCCTGGTTCTTTAACCTAAAACTGTATCTAAAAGATCTCTTTAATTATTTATTTTTATTTTATGTGTATGAGTGTTTTGCCTGCATGTACGTAAGTGTGCCTATATCATGCAATGCCCATGGAGGTCAGAAGAGGGCACTGGATCCCTGGACCTGGAGTTATGGATGGTTGTGAGTCACCATGTGGGGGCGAGGAAGCAAACCCTAGTCCTCTCCAAGAGGAGACAGTGCTCTTAATTGCTTCTCTACAGCCCCCCAAACATCTTTTCATCCATTAGATATTACTCTGCTAAATGACTTTCATGGCTGTACAATAATTCATTGGATGGATGTAACATTTACGCTGTTCCAAGTTTTGCTACAAGAACCAATGTTGCAATTTTAGCGTTCCTAGTAAATTTTTGCATATAACTTATTTCCTTAGACTAAACTTCTAAAAAAATTTGGCTATTGGGCCAAAAGTTATGTAACCCTTGAGGTCCTTTTAAACTAATGTCATCTCTAGTGGATGAGGGAGCCCATTTTATGTATCTTTGTCCTCAGTGGATTTTTGTCACTTAAAAAAATCTTCAAAGGTGCTATTTATTCTATCAAAGATAGATTTTTCCCAACTAAAAGGGTACAATTGAGACTCTAGAAGACTAGTCCAGTTATGCTAAAATGGTTTCATTTCTGTCCTGTGCTGATGTAGAGTTTTCACTTACTAGTGCCTTGGGAAAGTAAATGGTAAGGAGGAACTTAAATGAAGATGAAACCCGTACAGATTTTCCTATCTCTGCAGACACTGAAGAGGCCGGTGCTCCAGTCCCCACCAGTCTGAACAATTGCTGTGACTGTGGTCCTGCCACTGACTTCCCGGACAGGCTGCTTCACCACTGCACGAGCTGGTACTTGGCTCCTGGAGAGTTAAGGATGACAGTTAACTTGGAAACAAAGATGCTGCAGAATGATAACCACTGAGCAAGACAGAACAACAAAGAAGAGGTCAGGAGATTCATCACCCAGGCTGACTTCAGCAACTCCCTTTCTGCTTCAACATACTTTCACTGACTCTATTAATGGCACTGTTATTCCAAATGCTGTCACTCAAGTTCAATGTCCAAACTCCTAGGTGGTTCCCAGAGTTTCATATAGTGAGCCACCAAGCCTGGCCATTTCAGACCAATCTTAAAGAAAAGCCCTATGCTGGGCATGGTGGTTCACGACTTTAATCCCAGCACTTGGGAGGTAGAGGCAGGCAAATCTCTGAGTTCAAGGCCAGCCCGGTCTACAGAGAGAGTTCCAGGCCAGCTGAGGCTATAGGATGACCCTGTCTCAAAAACAGACAAAAAAAAAAAAAAAAAAAAAAAAAAAAAAAAAAAAAAAAGTTCTAGAGGCAAATAGTTGGGAAGCCCTTTTAGACCTCAATTTGGGGGAATAAAATCAGTATGTTGAGATATCATGATATGGGTTGTACTGTTCTTAGCATCCAAACTTATTTTCTATCATACTAACAATACCTGTTATGGTTTGAATATGAAATACCCCCTATAGACTCATGAGTTGAAGAGTTGGTCCCCATCTGGTGGTGCTATTTTGGGAGGTTCTGGAAACTTTAGGAGGGAAGGCCTATTTGGAAGAAGTATTTCACTGGGGTCATGCCTTTGAAAGTTGTACCTGGTCCCTAGCCCCTTCCTCCCTCTCTGCTTCTTGCCTGCCCTAAGACACCCAGCATCTTCTTTCACATGTTCCCATCATGATGTTCTCACCATGGGCCTAATCAATGGAGCTAAGAACAGTGGATCAGAATCTCTGAAATCATGAGCCAAAATACAACGTCTCCTCTCCTTTCAGTTGTTTGTCAGACAATCTGTCACAGTGCTGGAAAGACGAATACCTTTGCCCAAGCCTTAGCAAACAGGACAGTACATTTGTTTGTTTAAATAACAAGTTCCAAAGCCTTACACAAGACCAACTGCACAAGTCCCTAAGGAAGAGATACAGAAATCTTTGTCATAACAGACTTTCAGGTAATTCATAAGCAGTTATCCTGATATAACCCTGAAACATGCCAGTGGATTTGGACACCACTGGTGATGACTGCAATAGCTTTAGAGTCTTCCACTAGCTAGGTGGTGATTTCAATATAACAGGAATGGCAAGGAAAACAGAAGATAGGCTGGAAAGGATGAAGATGCTTGAAATACTCCTATTCCAAAAACCCAGTGAGACATCAAGAAGACACTGAAAAAAGAGCTGAAAATATTGCGAAAGAGCTTACAAGAGAGGCTGGGCCAAGCAAACTCTACAGAATTCTGCAGTGGGTCCCTGAAAAATCCCCAGTTCTTTCATCCACTAGGCATTATAGATAATATCTAGGGTCTAATTAGGTCTAATAGCTACTTAAGTGCCTTGAATATGTTTAAGACTTGGAAAACAGTAATGACTTCAAAAAAAAGTACAAAATATAAATTAATGGTAAGTTAAATACAAAAAGTTAGCTTTATAGCAATTTCATTATCAAACAGAATGACTGTTTTTTGGTCTTTTTGAAACAGAGTCTCCCTGTAGCCCCAAGTGGCCTGGAACTCACTTTGCAGACCAGGTTGGCCTTAGACTCACAGAGATCTGCCTGCCTCTGCCTCCCAAGTGCTGGGATTAAAGGCATGTACCACCACACCTGGGTTTTATTTTTGTTTTTTTTTTTAATTATTTATATAATAACCACAAAATTAGAAGAAGCATTTCATTACAACAGCATTGACGTATTCAATAACAATTTCCAGAGCTAAGATGTATCTCTTTCAAAATTGGCTGTAAATTTTTAGGTTTACAGTTGAATTAATACAGTTATACAATATTGTACTCAGTACAAACCCTATAAGATACAAAATTAAATGAGGTTTTATTTTATTTTATTT